GTGTGTCTGAATAAGATAAGGAGACATTGTTTTATTCTGCGGGCCATTTTGTGCTGTGATTTAGACACTAAAGTCACAGGAGCATTTGATTATCTCTATCCCACTCCTCCGAGGAGCTCTTCTTAGTCGGGCTCCTCCTCCTCCTCTCTCGAAAAATTGCAGACTGCAGCTTGCCCCCCCCACACATCACTGAATGAAAGTGCCTGACCGCTGGAAGGAAATTACAGATGCTGGCTCTGTCTCCTGCCGAGGAGCTGGCTGGAATGTAAGACTTGTATTTTTCCCTCTCTCTGCTTAACCTCAGCTTCTCTGCGGGCTGACTAATTTCTCAGTGTCGTAAATAAGACGTCTATTGTGTCTGCCGCCGAGCTTTTTATCGGGCCGTGTCAACAAGTACACACTATTAGTCTCCCTTTCTGTGCCAGAAGAGGACCAGCCCCACTTAAATGGGCCCTTTTTTACAAAGTGACTCTCACACACCTATCCTTACAAATGTAATTACACGTTGGACTTGAAGTCAGTGGAAACAGCAGAGAGTCTGAGCTCTATACAATGTTCCAACATGTCTGTGTGTCAGTGTGTGTCAGTGTGTGTCCGCCTCTCTTCTGTTCAGCTCTCACAAGATAAACTGATATTTCCACTCAGCAGGAAAGATAGATTGATACATGGATACATGATGGATACAGTAGATACTTTATTCTACTTTATTCATCCTAAAATGGGAAATTATTTTTGTCTCGGCAGCAGTGTTGTCAAGCATGACACAAGTTACAAATATTTACAAGATATAATAAGATACAAATATAATTATAGAAACCGCAAATATATACAAACTGACGGTGGAAAAGACTATATCACAAAATCAGGGGTGTCCAAACCACGGCCCGGGGGCCAACTGCAGCCCGTTGTCCATTTTGAAATGGCCAATTCTAAAAGTGCAATGGAATATGGCCCAAACATGGAACTTGTGCTTGTCTTCTATTGTACTTCTCAAGTACATATGTACAAATATATAACATAGTATTCATGTGTTAATAGGCCTAATGTTCAAATAATTCAGTCAATTCAATTTGAAAACATTATCATACAAATCTTAGTTGATTAAAAAAAAGCTAATAACTTATTTGCATAACCAGCTTGAAATAGACCCTTCCTATTTCCCCTTATTATAATCAATCTGAGGCTTCTGTTTTAAGGAATGAGCTGCAACTCTTCCTGTGGCAACATAAAGTAAACCCTCTGGAGAGCTGTGATGGAGGCGGTATTTTTCTTAAAGCATATCCAAGTATCAAGAATATTGTACTTACATTTGATTGATTTTGCTAACTTATAATCTAACATGTGAGGCAACATACCTCACCTCTAGTGAGGGGCCCAGCCCTTCGTGTGTTGTTCTGTATCTGGCCCTCAGTGAAAGAGTTTGGACACCTTTGATCTAAATAATACACAATATGAAGAAAATAATGAATACATTTGAAAACTCTAGAGTATACAATTGCAAGGTGTTGCTGAGGGGAGACCCGACAAAGGACCCCTCACTCACTATCTTCTCATCTCCGTGTCACAGATTGAGGGGTCTCCTCAGCCTCTGGGGGCAGGAAACAGGAAGTCCCTAGCAGCGAGTCAGGGTGTAGCGCTCTGCTGGAAAATGCTGGGCTGGGACTGCTGTGTTTGTACTTGTCACTCAATGCTCTGCCAGTGGGGGGGGGGGGGGGGGGGGGGGGGGGGGGGGGGGGGAGCTGCAGAAGCACTTAGCTCCCTGTGTCATACAGGCATTGGATTTTTGAGGCCTCATTTGCCGCCTTGTTGCTTCTGTAAACATTTCCGGGTGCCAAACACAGTCGGACATACTGGTAAACAGCCCATCTGTAGCTGGATAAGAAGCATGGGAAATGAACGGTGTTGTGTTTGTGAGCTTGAGTTAAAGGGCTAGTCCACTTTATTTAAACCGGGCTTTTATTTTCCAAGTTTCCAACACAAGTCATTTCCTAGCATGGGGATCATGGCAACAGAAATTCTCAAAGGAGAAGAAAGGCGATCAGTCAGACGAGCAGACAGGTGGTAAACAGCTGACGGGTACATTAGCACCAGTTCTGACACTGCCTGTGTTAAACAGATTAGGTATCCGTCACGCTAAACACTTTTCAGTTCTTTGCTTTCAGTTTGATGCCATGAGCTGTATGCAGACATCTACTGCTGGTACCGAGGCATTTACTGCAAGTGATTCAAGTAAATGCATTTTGATATGACAATAGGAAAATGCCTTTATGGTGAGACTCTGGGAAAATACTATAGCTACTTTACTAGCTTGTAAGTGAATCTGGAAACAAACATCCAGAGTGTGATTGTAATGATTTAGTACATGGTCCCTGACAAATACAATAGCAAAGATTGACTTTAGATTTAAATGTCGAACACAATTTAATAAAAGGAGGAGGGCACATGAAACAAAGATATTTTAGTTGTCTTGAAGTTTAAAAACACTGTGGCTTTCCTTAGTGTTTTGAATGCTTTTTAGCTGGTGATAAATGATATGTATTTGCACGGTATCGGCTGGTATCCTGAGTTAGGGTATTGCATACAGCATAAGAGATAAGTAGTAATATATTTCAGTTATCTGGTGAAGTTGAGTCTACTCTCGACTGCCCCCCCCCCTCCCCGCCTGGTGCTCATCTTAATCTGGGCTGTGGTTGCTCTTGTCTCCCGGAGCGGGGGTCTCGATGGGAGATAGCAGCGGTCCCCCAGCAGAGGAGCTCTCAGAAACCCAAAGGCAAACACACACGCTGGCTTATCAGAATGTTTAAGCAGCCCTGCAGAGTGGGAGAAAGTACGCTCTTAAGCGGGATCCAGCCTCTCTCTAACCTGCTGCAGAAAGCCCTTCAGGCCCCTTACCCACATGGGGGGTGTTTACCCTCCACCTACACATGGTTTCTTTAGCTGTTTACGCAATGCTCCTCAGAAGTGAACACGCAGTAAAAAGCACATTATGATGAGCATGCACTGTGGACTGTGTTTATACCTTCTGCCCGGTCAGCATTCAAGACCCACCGCTCCAATCTCCTCATGGCTCTGTTTTCAATTACCGGCTCTGAGAGGTAAAGAGAGATTAGAGATAAAATCATGTCTTTTTTTTCTCTTGAAAAAAAAAGGTTCTTGTTTCACGAGGCTGTGGCAGAGCGATAAATGGAGAGTGACAGGGCTTTCATGTCTCTGAAATGGGGATACCCCGAGCCCCGCCCCCCCCCCCCCCCCCCTCACGCCGCTGTGGAAGTGGTAAAACAAGAAAACTCCGATTCCTCCATCCTTCTCATTCCGGACCTGTCACAGGAGGTGGTGGCCAATATATTTCCCTGGAAAGAGAACTAAAGAAATCACAACCAAGATCTGTTTGGGGGGAGAGCCAGTATGACAATCATTGCTCATTTCCTCCTGTGGCTCATGAAAAATGCATTTCTTTTGATGATTTGATAGTTTGTATGCGGAGCTATTCACAGAAGTATAGATTTCTCTCAGATCAGTGAAGGAATCATGTGGCCTGGATTCTGCAATTCTCCACCAGGCTGAGCTCTGTTCAGCACACAGCACTCACTAAGGATCGGTCCACCTCCCTGAAAATCTGACACGTTGACTTTAATTAAATGTAATTGTAATGACATTTGTTGACATAATACGTTTAATTAAAGTCGCGTTTCAGTTTTTTCAGGGCCCCGGGCCAAAATACCCAGAACGAGTTTAGACATTTGACTATTTACCGGTATTCAAGCGTCAACTCAACAAATGCTTGTGATTCACAGTGAGGATGCTATGAATCAGTATTTTATTGCGTTAACATTCTGTGTTCGTCATTACTAGCTGTCATGGGAGTGGTTACTCATCGTTGGGTGGGTGAATAATTTGGGTGTAATCAGTCTTTGAGATTTGTTTATCGTGTTGGTCAAAGGTAGAATGTTGAAATGACCCATGTGCTGGAAATGAACTCTTATCTGTGCTGAAGAATGTTTCCTCTCACAGATTGTCGTAAACAAGTCGGACCTCCTCCCTGCCCGAGCATTCATCAGAATAAAAATAACCTTTTTTTTACCTGTTGAAGTCGTTGTAATATATCCAAGGAGAATTCCTCAACCTGAGATTTGTGAAGCTTTTTCATGGCTCAGTCTGCTTGCCGAAGGGGGGGGGGGGGGGGGGAATACTTGCTGATTCATGTGAACGCAGTCATTTGTTCTGTCATGCCCTCCTCAGGATGGGAACTGTGTTCAGAGACAGTGTTTGCAGAGGACTAATATCACCTGGAGACATTCAGGGATCTGTAATGACACGATGTGGAACTGGCTTACACACACTGGGGTTTATTGCTCTGTGGAGTTTCTTCTTCAATTGATTTATTTTACAGATTATTTTGCTACTGCTCGTCACATATTTTGGTAACAATTTTGTAATAACTAAATGTAAGGCATCCTTATAAAAAACAAAGGAATATTGGAAGAATAGTATTTTTTACATTTTCTTTTGGAAACATTCAAATATGTATTGTTTTAATTGCAGTTCATATTTTCCGCTGGGGTCAAGGCAAAGTGTTCAGAAGGTGTTTCCAATTGAGTCGTCTTTGTCCTCTTGCTTTGACATCATCATTTTTTATCCTTCTTCCATTGCGTGCATTTTTATTTACTATTCAGATGTACATTTTTATTTTTTATTTTTTTATCTGGGGTTAATATTATCCTCTGGGGTCGAGGCAAATCTAAGGTTTCAAGATGAATAATGGGACATGAGTATGTGTGAGAAGGAAACAAGTTCAGCTACTCAAATAAGTATTTTATTTAAACTCTGCTTTTTTGGTTAAAAGTGGATTCATTTGACTTTTAACATTTATTCAAAATACATCAATATGGGCAGTTAAAAAGCATAGGAAACATACGGTACAGTAAAGCCGTGTGCAGGAGGTGCTGCTGATTCAGTTGTTAGTCCTCTCTTGACCTCCTCCCTTCTTTCCCCCTCTCCAG